TGTCCCTTTTGACGATATTCTGCACCCGCCCCTGACCCGCTCTGTTGTGTCGCGCTGTCAGTCTGTGTATGCCGTGCTGTCCGGCGCTGCTCCGTACCCTCTCTGTGTGTGCCGCGCTATCAGCTGCTATGCTGCACTCCTACTGTGCATGTTGCGCATCAGCCACTACTCTGCCTCCCTGTGCATGCTGCCCTGTCAGCCGCCACTCTGCACACTCTCTGTGCATGCTGCGCTATCAGCCGCTGCCCTGCACCCTCTGTGTGTGTGCTGCGCCATCAGCCCGTGCTCTGCACCTTTCCTGTGCATGTTGCGCTTTCAGCTGTCTGCGTTAACGCGTCTGCGTTAACCACTGCAAGTCTGGAAAACCAGCGGTACGGGGTTCGATTCCTCGCGGTGCCCGTCCTCCCTGCCAGGGTGACAGGCAGGCGACGTCATATAGCCTCAGCAGTTGAGCGCGTCGTAAAGACCCAATGAGGACGACGACGATCCTTTCTGTGTGTGCCGCACTCAGCCGCTGCTCTGCACCTGTCTGCTTCAGACCGCGACAAGAACGGCCGTCTAACATTCGCCGACTTCTGCCTGCTGCGCGAGCACATCTGTCAGCTGAGTGGCTGGCAGGAGGGCAGCGCCAAGAGGAGACACACCGAGGACCTGTTCCTGCACATGTGGCACGACCTGCAGCGGCTAGCCGACTCCGATCACGACGACGTCATCACAGCACAGGAATGGGTATGTTGACATGCAATATGGGCGCGTTTGGCGCCCCGACGCTTCCACATGCAAGGTATCGTTCGTAATGACTATGATCTGTAATATGCGTGACTTTTTTCTGTTGCGATTTCTTAGGGATTGCAAGATTTGGATTATTTGTTAGAAATTGCGCCATTAAGGCCTCGCCTGAACTTGTTTCCTGCAGGATACCCTCATCTTGCCTTTTCTGACATGTCAAATATGGATATGTCAGTTATATGAGTAAGCCTGTGACTCATCGTACCGCAGATCCCAGGTATGGCAACTGATTCTCGCTGGCCTACGAAACGGGGTGTGTCTAGCGTATACTCAACCAATTGCTGGCTGTGGTATAGCCTCTCTATAGTCAGGCACATGGGTGAGTCAGAGGCTAAAATTTGTGGAATGGGCGAGCGAGTGTGGTGGCATTGTCGGGAGTGTTTGAAATGAACTCTAAAGAAGTCCATGTGCCTACAGAATCAAATGACCACCGTGAAAGATAACACGCATTTGCAAGCTTTTCTAGTGGAGATTGCAATTTGAGACGTTCAAACGACTCTTGACTCTATTCCGCCCTCAGCTTTTGATGTGGGAAAATATCTACAAAGGTTTGCGTGATTACTTCAAGCGAAAGAAGCCATCACCAGCGCCTGCGACCCTACCTCTGAAGAGCCCAAGCTCAAAGTCTAATACTGAAACTGACCCAGAGGTGGCGTCATCGTGCAGTGAGCCGAGTGCCGACAAACAGCAATCCAAGGACATTGCCGAGAAGAATCCATGGCCGGAGTGGGTCCATGCATACCTGGAGTACAGGTTTAATCTCTACGACAGAACTGGTGAGTACTTGTTTATTCATGCCGTAATCTGCCCGCACTAAGGTGTTTGCGGTTAGCACCCGGACAAACTCTATCTATCTGGAAATAGAGTGCATGGTGCACCGATTCTGCTCATTGTCTGGAAGACTAGACGAGTCAGCATATCCTGTTCTGCGTGTACTTTTGCCCCACCGCGACCACTCCACTACCTACCACTACCACTCTCCTGGTCACTGATGTCCGAAAGAGCTGTAAGTCAAACCAAACCAAACGATTCAGTATGGTAAAAATGTATCGAAATCCCATCCATGACCGATTGCTCCCAGCATTCCAGCTGCCCCACATTGACAACTAGGGATGGGCTGAACTCAGTGCGGGCGCGCAGGGATTGGTGGCTGGCTGCAATCCCCAGCACAAAAACTACGGCCAGGTACTGAGCAGAGGCAATCCAGTGACAGTCATCCGTGTCAGGGACGGTAAAAGTGTACTTTTGTCGCCGACTAAATTTCAAGAGGAAAAGTTGTCGCCAGTAGCGTTATGCGATATCATATGACAAAATGGTCATTAAGACCATGTCCAGTAGCGTCATCAGTAATCAGACTATTATCGAAAGTCCCTTTCATCACTACAATTTTCAATATCATACACACAACCGAAACGTTCAGTCATACACTGTCCTTCAACAAATGTCAGGATAAGCGTTGCTGCTAGGAAAGCAGGCGCAGCTGCCCTAGACTAATGAGTTAGCCCAATCACAACAGGAGTGTTCCCGAGGTTGGCCTCGGGACTTGCCGGGGCCTCACATTTAAACACGATCTACGGTTGGATTTGTTTTCCTTGACCGCATAAAAGCAACAACAACAAAGGACCTCGATAGCCAAGGCGGCAGAATGCACAGCGGACCTCGAACCAGTGGCAAGCGGCACTGGGAATGACGTCAAATATGGGGAGCCTCTGCGGGGACATGCCCTCTTATGAGAATCACGTGTGCGTTTCGAGCCTCATCTCAATCGTCGTCAAACTATTCATCGCACCTTAAGGGTGCTCCAAGCCTGGCGCGGCATGTTTTGACTGGTGGGTGTTTTTCGCCGTGCCCCAAGTAAGCGGTGTCGAAATTTGTCATCACTTTCACATCAGGCGGCTATCTTTTTCTGGACAAGTTACTCGCCCTGACAGCGGGGACGGGGGGAGGGGGGGGGGGGCGATGCGACATCAGCCCCCCCCCCTCCCCCACTCCCTCCCTACAGTTTTCTGAGCAAACCACTGCGGCATATTGTGAAGTCTCCATCAAATCTTTGGTAGCCTGCGGGGCATCCACTGCACGCGCATTGACACCAAAAAAGTGTTCCTAGTGTTCCTAGTGTTCCTAGTGTTCCTGGTTACTCTGGTTTCAGAGAAGTGTTCTACGAGAACTGCGAGGCGATTCAAGGCCGGCGGACAGCGAGCGACGGCTCTGCGGACCGCGCGCAGAGGGTTGGCACTGGTCATGAACGAAACCCTACATTATATTTGTGGGCTCCAAACAGATAAAACTAGATGCCGTTGTACTCATAATTAAACAAGGGATACGCCTCTCTATGTTCCATGTCACTTAGCTGCATGGTTTTGTATGTATGAACATGAAAAGCTGATTGTCTTCTTTAATACTTTTGTTTTTTTGCTTTTTTCGACTTGGTCTGTGGGGTCATTTAACAGCGAGTGACTTCTTACCAATGACGAGATCTCGTTAAAGACAGTTCACTGTTTGTTGTTTTTACAGGGCTTTGCCTGTCTTAGTTTGCAAACGTCGTGGATTCCCCCCCCCCCCACCCCCCACCCCCCACCACCACCAGTCCGCGTTACGAAAACCGGTGAATCAGGGTAAGGGTTAAAATTGTTAGCTGACACCATCTTGTATCAATCTTAGATGCGCTGGTATAAAATTATACATTACAGGCATAGGCACAGGCGTAGAGACGTTTCAAAAGGTGGGGGCAAACTTAGGGCGTAATTCAGGAACTTTTTCTGGAAAGCAAGCCCGATGACCGGCGGGGGTAGAGATGGAGGTTGTTACCGCTCTTTATTCAAATGTCATGCCTGCTGTGCTAGACATGCATCTAGGGCTGCTTCTCGTTGGTACGTAATATTGTCTATTCGACTCATTTGTCATTCGAAAAATAGGGCTATCCAGCTTCCCGAGATTATTCGTCCATTTCAACATGGCCTTTCCTGGGGACGCGAAATTCCACGAGCGGGTAGGCATTTCGCGTCATTGAGGAGACATTTGCCTTCACAGGGTAGATGCCCAAATGCGGCCAAGACATAGGCTGGACAGAATTTGGAACGTGAATCGTTGACTCACAGTGCGACAGATTTTTCATGCGCTTTCATTTCGCTGGCTGCTTTTCAAGAAATAAGCCTTGTAGCAGCATTTTAGGCGGGAAAAGATTCGGAAGCCTGGAACGGCCAAAAACAATGTAACAAAAGTCATAAGACTGGAGATTCTCCTTAAACAACCAAGCCACAAAATGAAGGCCCTTCTGTCATATTCCTGATGTGATCCCTGCTCCCGTCTGCCTTCGGCGGCCACTTCCTAAGCCCGGCTGTCTCCCGCATGACTAATGCTGATAATACTGAAATGCTGCTAATTCTGAGCCGCAGTCAAAGGTTGGACAAAAATGGTGATGCTTTTGAAAGAAGTACCTTTGAACGCTTCAGGACACTAAATATTACATTCAGAGCAATGAGCTAGAGTCGCTTTTGAACAAGGGTAGGAGAAAACAATTTCATCGCAAAAAGGCCGTACGGGAGTGGAAAACTCAATTCACAAAAGATAAAACTTATGGGCCAGTTAGAGATGCTTCAGCAAACAAGCACATACATTTCAAGTTGGCGTGGACGTAATATGATAAACCTGACAAAACTGTTTTGTTTTAAACATTTTAAGTCATTAAGTAAAACAGAATACAGTAAAGCATAGTAGTTTAATAACAGTGTGGTGAGCATCAACAACTATGTGACAATAATGTTTTCATGCTGCACTGTGGACTTTCCACAGGACTTTTTAACACAAAAAGCAAAGAAATTCAACAAAAAGAAATCAACAGAAAATTCAACAAGCATAAAGCATTTAAACCAAAAAAATATGAAACTCATGCACATCAGCCCAGCACTACGTCAAACACAACAAACATATCTCTGGCTTCTGTTAAAGGGAATTTGTCCCAGTTGAAGATTTTGAGATGAGCATTAGCTATGATGGGAAAAGTTTACTTGTAACTATTGGTAAGCTTTCAGGGTTCAAAAACGACGTTAAGCAGCAAAGTTTCAAAGTTTGTAAAAATGCGCCCCATTGCGTCCTTGATGGCTACATGGAATGGTTTTGTGACGACAATACCTAGCAGCATCTGGCAGCCAGACCTAAAGAATAACTAGGAACACTCAAAAGCTGACACCAACCGGCCATTTTCGTCGCGGCCACTGTGTTAGGTGGCAGATTAGTGAATCGCTTGTTTGTAAATTTTTTGCCTTGGTGCTGGTCTTAACAGAAGCTTTGGTGGGCTTGTTTGACATACACAACGTAGCGACCGCCAGATTTTAGGGCAGATTACTAACAGCAAAGCGCGATATGCTGTGAAGACTGTCATGTAGCGTCATGAATCTCTTACCGAAACCTGCCGAGGACTGTTAAGGATGTAAATATTGCATTGTCGACTTATCCTTGCCTGCAGTGCTGTAGTCCTGACATTAATGTCATGTGATGTGCGCAGCAGTTGCTTTCTTTATTATTGTGACTGGAAATGGAACTACACGCAAAAATTTATAGATATATAGCATTGCTATGAATTGAATGTCAAAACATGATACTTCTGTCGTAAGCTGGCAAGGTCGAGTTACCAAGAGGGTTTTTCTTGCTTAGGATTATTTATCCAATTACTAGTTAACCCTGATATAAACATTGTGGTGCATTAGCGTTCTCGTTAGTGATAGTCCTTTGGCGTTGTTAAGTTCGTTATTACGTCATTCATAAATTATAAGCTCTCATTTCGTTGGCTTGACGCAGAGTAGTCAACCAATGTGGTACATTGTTTAATGGCACCGGTCAACAGCGTCATCGTGGCACTACCTCAGTGTTGTACTGTGGCATGGCATAATGAACAATGATACTGTTTTTGCACTGCAGTCACTGCTGCTGTCATAATATATCCCATCATGAAAAAGGGGTCAAGTATGCATTCTTGTATTAACTTTGTATCTGACATATGAGTGACAAAAAGCACATGATATCATATACAAATCACCTTCAGCAAAGCACACAACCAATAAGTGGCATCACTTGCTCAGTCTGTTTTAGTAATCCACAAAACATAGTGACAAAGATGCAAACACGTCTTCTGCCTGCACAGCCATGCAACATGCTACAGCCACCAGGCTGCTTCACTCAAAAACATTGATCACGCAAGTAATAAGACATGTATATCAA